TTTCCGGTCATTGAACCTATTGCAGTCTAACCAACGTGTCATTTGCACTTGGGCCCATTAATGACTTTATTTAACGATTTACATGTATTATTTTGGCCTTGCAATGATTTTACATTGGTCAAACACATTTATTTGAGTTCTCATCTCGTCACATTGCCGTCCGGATCATTGCCAATTGTGAAAGCTCTAGTCCATTTTCTTTGGTTTTCCGATGTTGGCAGCTTCAGGTATCTGCAGTTTTGGGCCACGAGCGTCGACATAGGTCTCAGAGTTATAGCTTCAGCTTTAGTTATAGCTAGGTACTCGACCGATTAAGAAATTAAGAAACAAAGGGTTTTCTGACACTCTCACCCACCCCCCGAAAAAAAATGCAGCCTTTCTGTGGTTTTTATTTATTGACAATTCAACTTGCGCACATGCATACACAGACTTATTTCTTTTTTCAAATGTTATCAGGTAGAAATAAAGTGAAAGAATGTTGTAGTTCATAAGAAATAACATAACAGGCTTATCAGAGGTTTTCAAAAAGATAAGCAATTTTTTTAAAACCTGAAATTATTGATAGAAAATGATTTCATAATGGAAGATGCAATACTCAGTGCAAATCACAAGGCTTCCTAACTGGAGCTGACTCAAACAAAAATCAAATACTACATTGACATAGATTACAATACATTTCTGAACTGAATTTTAGCTCAGGGTATTTAACAGTAAGCCTTCTGCAAGAACCCAAGCAATGATCAAATCCATCAGTGATATTACGCTTAACTCCAACTTCACAAACAAATTACCTCAATATTTTCCATGGCTACAGGACTACTGAACCAGTCAATCTTTAAAACAAAGAACAAATTTTCAATTCCCATCAGGACAGAACATGGAGAAAGGCTCATACATCAAAAAAGATGTACATCATATGAAGTGTAAAAGAAATGAAATTGAGATCAGCTCTTTCACAGACTCTCAACTCGGAGCAGTAAAGAGAACTGCTCAACGAGAGCTGCTTGAGCTTGACCGGCTGTAACGTCTTCGCCGAGCAGGCGACCGCGAACGAGAGCGCGGTCTTCGCCGAGGAGGAGAGGGTCGTCGGCGGGGTGGAGGTGGAGTGCGCCGACGGAACCTGCAAGAAAATCAAAAATTAATTAGTGAAAACGCTTGGAAAAAAAAGATTGTTTCATTAAAACAAGATAGAGAAGCAGATTGTAGCTACACCGTGTTTGAGGACTAAGTACGACAACATCATGTGAGTTTGCCTACCCAAGGGGCCATGGCATGTGAGTGGAGCAAGTAGGCAAACCCGTATACTGTTGTGCCGAAGCCCTGACACACGGTACGTGTCCACCAGGAGTGCAACAACTTGAAACAACTTACCTTGGGGGAGACCGGCCCCAACGCTGCATTGGTCGCCTCACTTGTGGTGGTGGACTGCGGCGTGGCAACGGCATACGAGGTTTGGGCAGCAAGACGGGTGCTGCTGTAATTTCTTGGCCATCAATTTGCCCTAAAACCATAGATTTGATTAGAGAAGAAAACTTAACTTTGAGACACAGGAGGACACAGGACCAAAACTTACCTCCATCCATATGTTTCATGGCATTTTCTGCCTCATCTGGAGTTTCATACTCTACGTATGCATATCCTCGGCCAAATGGATGGCTGCGATCAAGAGGAAACTCTACTTGTTTCACAGTACCATAAGCCGAAAAAATCTCAAATACATGATCTTTTGTCACATTCCGGGTTAATCTGCCAATATGAACTCGAACTGGTCTTGGTGTTGGAGCTCTTTCTTTGCGCTTGCGTGCAAGTCTCACAGGTGATGGGGTCCTATAACAACATTTACAGCGCTGTTTATGATGTGATGTGAGTTGAAAATAAGAGTACAATTATAGCACCTACCTGCTTCTTGGCTTGGGTTTAGGCTTTTCAGCTGCCTTTTTCTTATCATCTTCCTTTTTCTTATTTTTACGATCTGCACTCTTGCTTCTGCTGCGGCTATGAGTCTTACTTTTGCTGCGGCTCCTACTGCGACTTCCTGTTCTGTATAAACAAATTTACATTAATGCCAAACCTTTCAAAAAACATGGAGCCCCTAATATTGAACAGGCTGACAACTTACTTGCGTTTAGTGGCCTTGGAGCGAGTTCCTGAACTTGAACTGGAACTGCTCGATCCGCTAGAACTAGAGCTTGAACGTGAACTTGATCCAGAACTTGAGCTTGATCCAGAACTTGAACCAGAACTAGAACTGCTCTCTGAAGAACTGTAAACCAAAAAAGAAAATTCAAACTAAGTTGTTAAAAGTATGCATGGTCGAGAAGATGATAAAATTTGTTACTAAAAAATCTCAGCAGTGGCCTTACCTCCTGCTACTACTTCCACTGCTGCTGGCTGAAGAAGCTGTTGACTTTTTCTTCCTGTCCCTCCCTCTTTCTTTTTTCTTCTTCTCCTCCAAGTCTGAGCTTTTCGGACCGTCTGCAGAACTCCGTCGTTTACGAGCCCTGAAACAACAATTAATGTGGGTTTTGAGCAACCGTCCAAACCAAACTTTGATGGGCAACGATAGGAATATTTTTAGTATACAAAAGGATGAATCATGATCATAGATTTTAAGAGCAATGGGGAAGAGCACACAAAAAGGTAAAGGCTAAACAATACTTAGAAAGTAGAGTAACAGAAGATAAATAAACTTTGGAGGTATCATGTATAATCATTGAGGTTAGCAGGCAGCCGCCGGTTTTGACATGCAATAAAGTGATTACGCAGGATTTGCGATAGTTCAGGCTGGAAATCATATGATACTTATTAATACAATAGCGTTTCAATTTTAAAAATATTAAAACACTCAAGATAGAAATTGGGTTTTCTTTAATATAAATAAAAATAACCGGCAAAATCATTGGAGGGTCGATAGGCCACAGCAAAGGAACTCGGACCATTACGGAAGAAGTTGAGGACCCAAAAAGTCAATACTTACATTTTCTTTGAAAGTTGAGCTCCTTTACTGAATTATATGCAACAAGAACTACGGTAGTAAATGCTTCAGGCAGTAAAACAAATCTTGCAATCGCTCGCGTTGCTCACGGCATCTGCCCTCTTCTTCTTTCTTCACGCCACGATTGGTTCATTTGTTTTCTTTTACTCGCAGACTTTGACTACGTATAATCATTTGCTTCGTTATCCGCAGTCGTCTGTAATTGTTGTTATTTCGCTCGTGCCTGCTGCCTTGGGCGAGTTTTTGTATATTTGTGTTATTTCTTGTTCTGAAAAATATGTTTTGTCAGAAGAAAAGCAATTTTAGTGACCGAACGGCCTTAAAACCTGGTTGCGCCGTTCGTGAATGCGCGCGGTGGAGAACCGCGACAATTTAGTGTGCGCTCACACTTCTTGTGAAAGGAAAGGGCCTGTTCCCCTAGTATGGGAAGACATGTGGGCCGCTGCAATATTGCGGATCATAAGGAAGAGGATAGTGCTAGGCATCATATTCCTGTTTTCTCTCACCTATTGCATAGTCAGCTTCATGAAGGAGGTATTTTTCAATTCATGATGAAGGTACTCTAGATCCCTATTGGTGTCATTCTCGATGTTCATATCAAACCCACCTGAAATTCTCTTGCAGGGAAACTCTACGACATCATATGAAATTGACACTCTCCCAGTGCGACCATTGGATAGAACATTTCTTTGGCATTCACCCAAAGATGATTTAAATGCCACTGAAATGAAGGTGTTGACATGTCGAAATTCTGTGCAAGGCAAAGTTCTTATTGTCGATGATAGAGGTAAAGCCACAAAGAAGTTACTTCCCCTTATTAATGCTAAATATCATTGTGTTAATTTGTCTCCTCCTACTTCAGGCTATGTTTGCTCAAGAGGCAATGTATTACCTAGTGGATGTTGTAACATTGAGGCTGAAAATACAAAACGATATTCCTGTGAAACTTGTAAAGAAAGTGGTTGTTGCAGCATATATGAGTACTGCATATCTTGTTGCCTCCATCCGGATAAGGTTTGTGCTTGAATTCTAATTGAACTTGGCAATGGAATTGCGTAATTTACTCATGCTAATTATTTATTTTCCATTACAGAAACAAGTTCTTCAAAATGTGTTAGGTAAAGCATCTGAGACATTAAATGTTCTTTTTGCCTCAGTAACAGATCACTTTGAACTGTGCTTGGCTAAGTGCCGAACAAGCTCTCAAAGTGTTCAGCATGAAAATACATACCGTGATCCCAAAGCTAAGCATTGTTATGGGGAAATTCCTACATCAGGCTCCTAGTAAATGGAAATTTTTAATCATGTGGTATACAAACCAATGGGTAGTAATGCTGCTATTTGTTTCTACTTTGAGATGTTAGTGCCAATGGTTTGTGATGGAAATGGTGAAACATGCGATATATATTCAATTATGACTAATTTTCAAACCAAAGCTTTGTCAATAATACCTGTCATTAGAAATACATCATGAATTTTGAGGGATTCTATGAACCTGTTAGATAGGAAATAATTATTGGCATGAGAAATCTGTGGTAATATCAGACTAAAACATATGAAATCATGTGTATGTTTGTTGATAAAGTCATTAGGGACATTATTATTAGTCTTACCTAAAACTTTTCAGAACCAATGTTTTGTAGTTTCATTTTATAAATTGTTGATTTTAGTTATATTTTATTATTGAATGACTCTGGTAGTGTAATGGAATAATGTTTAATTTAGTTTTTGAAGTCATGAGATTTGGTGCAAATTTTGGTCTCATTATAAAGAAATTTTGCCTTGTGCATGATTTTTTTGAAATGAAAGCACATGTTATGAAAAGAATACTAAACCAAACAATGTGATATCAATGTTAAGAAAATTGTTTAAATTATATTTTTTAGACATACGTAATACATAGTTTTTGTGTCTATGTAAGTACACCATGAGATTCAATTTAATTAACCCCTTTCAAAATATTTAAAGCCTAACCACAGTTTTTCAAAGAAATTAGTTTCATCCGGAATGAAGGATCCAGAGGAGCCTCCTCTGGATCAGAATGTCTTTTGTGAAGTGCCTACTATTTCTTATGAAGACATCAGAACTATTGAGTACCGGGAATTGACAGTTCAGCTCCTAATTAAATGTTAATTGCAGTATTACAATCTAAATGTAGTTCAAAATCTCCACTTTTATATTTCAATTTTGAGTGTTTTGGGGGAAATTCTGGTGTACTTCTTCCAGAATAATGAGTAATTGTTCAAATGACAATGACACTCAACTGTTCCTTTTATTCTTGAAGGCCGTACAAATATATTGCAAACACTCAACAAGATAATGCAAAAATATTATTTGATGTATATCTACATGGTAAGAAGTGTTCTGTCCTTTGGCAGTTGGAAAAATAAACGACTTACATGTAATTATTTACACTTGGTATAAGCCTCAATTTCATGTTCTTCTTACCTAACATGTTCTTATCTGCTGTTGCAGGGAGTACAGAAGTTATGGGGATGAACTTTCTAGGTCCCTTTCAATTGATTATCTATAGTGACTAAAGAAAAGAAGCCTACGTCTAACCCTATTAGAAGTTCCTGAAGTAATGGGGAAAATTAAACAATTTTAAAAGGGATCAATTTTGCAATTAATAGTTCTGAGTAATATTTTCTACAAAAAAATATTCTGTACAATCCATTTCTCAAAAATAATACCAACTTCTTACAAAAGTAGAAAAGAACCAACAGCAAGAGCATCAGTGAAGTAAATCACAATACAATATAAAACGTACATATGGCAAACTAGCAGTCTCGGAGGGTTAGTAAATGGATAAAATATGCTACTGTGTAGTAACACATCAACCAAACTCAGAATGATTAAAATTGCAGTGCTGACACCACATTAACAGACAACTTCAACGAACTCTCTAAGGAGTACAGCACTTAACTTTCTGTGGGAAAATAGGTCCTGTGTTTGAAAACATTCTCGTGTTTTTGCCCAAAAATGTTTCCTAGTGTTCACAGTGCACCTTAATGTACAGAATATCATACTCTACAGTTGTCCAATCTTTTTTTTCACTGGTTAATAACTTAGTAAAAACATAAATAACAGTGTGAAAGAAAATTGTGCTCTTGGAAATATGAAAGTAAGATCTAGACTCAAATTTTACCTAAGAATAGTAAGAATGCAACAAGAGGGCAGTTCCCTTATAGCATGCTACAACCATCTACTTTTAGTTTGATTGACACCAGGTACCTTTTTACATTTATGTGTCAAGCAGAATGCACAGCCAACAGTATTTCAATTAATATTATCATCTCTTTACTTTCAATTGCTTGACTAGTCTTCTCTCAATTATCAAAAATTTACTCACTCTTCTAGTTTTAGTTGTGGGCCAATAATAGTAACTTAAAAAAAACAACAACAAAAAAACAATGTATCGCCACAAGAAAAGTATATGTGAGTATTTTTTATCATCTCATCAAAGTTTTTTTTTTTAATTATTTTGTTTTTGATTGTATTATTGGTACCTTCATAATATAATTGTAACTGTTGATGAAAGTTATTAAATTGCAAACCAATAGTTTGCTGGGATGTTAGATTCATGCATTTTCAGCTTCTAATCTGTTTTCCCATTTTCTTACAGAGCTCTTCTCAGTTCTAAGAATTTGTAGATCACCCTTCCGCTATAAAACCCTTGACTCAAAGTGGCCATCAAGGGGCAGGAGAGAATATCTAAATGATGGGGATGGGAGGAATTACTCTGCACAGCATGAGCATGTTCACCATGCTCAGCAATACACTTCTCCTAACTCAATGACTGTAAACCCTTTATGGTCTGAGACCCTCTCCTCAAATAAAGAAAAGATGCAATGAGCTAACCCAGGTAATTACTTATTACTTATTAGTAGCTGGATAATAATACATAATTGCTGGAGCAGGTAGTTGCCACTGAGCAGCATGAAGTTCTATAAGTTGAAGAAGTGTCTTTCGTATTGCAGGTATTGCGGCTGATGTTAAAAAGGCATCACGTACTCCCGCTAAAACAGCATTCATTCGAGCTGGAAGCTCAGTTTCTAAGTCTTTTCCGATTGATGATAAGACAAAAAACAAGCACTCCATCTGACAAACAAAGGGAAGATTAGATTAAATAGAAAACAAGTATAAGTAAAAATGTTTGAAGATGTGAAATGGACTGCAAACCCACCTCTTTCAAACTGTTCACAGATGGGGGTTTGAGACATTCCTGACAACACTTAGCTAGAAGGGTCAGCAGAAGTAATCCAGGTGCAACTCCATCGTATTGGGTTTTCAGTTGAAGCTGACGTCGTTTCAACTAGATCAGAAAAAGAATTTACTGGTGATATTTATCTGCTTCTTCTTTAATTTCAGTGCCGTAAAAGACTAACCTGACAATACATTTCATTCAAGAAGGCCATGAAAGCTGGATAGCGCATACTAGGTGATCCACTAGATCCTGCAGAAGGGCTAGAGGCCTTGAGGTACTTTTCTCTGTTTTGATACCATAGTTGACATGTATTAAGGAGGGACTCAAGAAATGTTTCATTTTTCTCCTTCTGGAAATGAAGTTGTTTGTGTTTTGTTTTAAATATTCAGTCAATCAATCTCAACGATAAGAAATTTGAAATCGCTCAAAACTAATATGATTGTTATTATATTTGAATCTTACTTCAATAATTGTGATGCATAGTTTTGCAGCTGGTTCTGCAAAGCTTCGGCTTTCTACCACTCTATCCATTATGTGCTTCACCAACTGCATCAACGTCCTCGCAGACACTTGATTAGGGTCTGAAATAAAGAGGAAAAATGGACCCACACGTTGCATATGAACCTGTATGTATCTCTACCCCCTTCCCCTCAGCACTAGAAATATCAATTATAATTATAAGAATCATTTCTGCATCGATATCATTGTGGTAACAACACACCTTCGACAGCCCGGTGAATGGCGGCCTGCACCTCGGGAGGGAAGTTGGCGAAGTCCGGGAGGTCTTTGGTCTGGCCGCCCAACGCGTCAGCCGAGCCCATACTCTTGGAGCGCTTGATCCCTGCTCCACCGGACGAGGAGGACGTTGCGATGGCAGCCTGGGTCTTGGAGCGGAGGGGTTTCCCCTGAAAACAAAAACGAACCACTTAAGGTGAAGGACACCTCGGCTCAAGCATTGTATCAGCCAGGCCTGGCTCAGGAGGCTCTCGACGTCGGCCACCACCCGCTGCAGCTCTCACCGCGTGTTGGTCCTCTACTGGAGCGTGGTCCCTCACATCCCGGTGCCTCGACCGGCCTCCGCCGGAGCCTCCGCCGGAGCCGTAGCTGGCGTAGCTGTCCAAGGGAAAGGCGGGCGGCGCCCCCCTGGCGCCCGCGGCGTCCGCGTTGGCGTCCACGTCGAAGCGGAAGTGAACGCGGTGGGACTGTAAGCATCCAGCAACGGGTGAGTTAAAATGCGATAAAGTGTCGGGGACCCGTGCACACCGGCGTCACCGCCTGTCGGGTAGGCAATCGCGCGCGTTGCGCGCACGGGTGCGCGGCGGGCTTGCCTACCCGGGCCCCTGCCGCCCCCAGCCCCCAGCGCCCACCTGTTGCAGCGCGTTGCCGATGGACGCCGACTGCTGCAGCTGGTGCGGGTGGTGCCGCTGGTGCTGCAGGGCGTGCATGATGTTGCCGCTCGACTTGGACTGCTGCAGCAGGGCTGCCTTGGAGGGTTTGGACGAACCGTTGTTATTGTTGTTGAAAGAATTGTTGTTGTTGTTTAATGTCAGAATGTTGTTGCTGGACCTGAAAACGCGGAGACACGTTCGTGTCAGAGGGGAATTTAAGTCTAACGTATGGAATCTGCCGCCCCGTTTCATTGGTCGTGTGGCACCTACTTGGACATCTTAAGGCTCTCCATGGTGAACTCCTTGGCGTGCACGTTGAGCCTGTTGCTGATGGAGCTCCCTTCGCCATTCATGTGAGACCCATCGCGAACGCCTGCCGATCGCGACACAACACATTTATTTGACTCTATAAATAACCTTATTTCAGTTTAGTCGCACATTTCTCACACGATATTGTTCGTCGCACTCACTTGGGGGCCTGTAGATCTCGAGGGTGGGTTTGGCTCCACCCCCTCCGCTGCCGCTGGCGCCCCGTCGAGACCGGGCCTGCAACAATAAGGGTTGCCATTCTCTGTAAAACACAACAACGCTCCCGAGTTAAAATCATCTGGTTTCACGGCATTGGAACGTTTTCAATAATACTAATTCGGTGGGCAGCCGGCGGGGAAGTCCCACGTGAGCCAGTCAGGGACGCCAAGATGTGCGGGAACGGCGAACTGTCACACATTAGCCAAGTGGGAGACTCGATGACAGGCGGAATACGCCTTACATGCTTCCTGACGGCCGTCTTGGGCCCATTAGAGATCGATTTGTGGCTCAGGGCGGGGGATCTGATGCGCTGAAAATGTCTCTGGTTGGGGAAAGGGGGGGATCGCTGGGGAAGGAGAGAGGGCTTTGCTAATTATATTCGAAAAGAGGGGGGATTGTTTTTGGCAAGGCTCCCACCCCTCTCGCACCACGTGGTCGCCGCGCCGCGTCAGGGATACCCCCGTGGTCACCAGGGTGCAAAATAAACGGAAAAGCTTTCCCTCTACCGGAGCTCCGAAAAAGTAGGTGGGCTCTCCTTCCCTGTGTGCGTGATTTTTCGTCAGGCGTTTTCTTTTGCGAGGGCCCACAAACCACGCACTCTGTATTCCAAGACATTAGGAGGCGCGCTGCTTCGGCTGCTTCACGCGTCCTACGAGGCTGACCTTCCACAGTCTCGACGCAGTTTTGACGCGCCGGGGCGACCGCGGAGTCGAGGAGGTAGCCGCCGCGCTCCGTCGGGTCGCTAAAACGATTCCGGGCCTCTGAAATAGGCGTAAGACAAGCCGAAAATGGGCCCAACCGCACGAGACCGGTCCGGCCGAACCAGACCCGGCTGGCGGACCGGAGCCGGGATGGGACGCCGTGTCGTCGTATCAGACGTTCTCCTAGACAATGTCCGTTCCTACCAGCCCGCCCGTGTCGTGTGTTACCACTCTCTAAACTCGCAAAGAAAAAGAAGTGCTTTACGTTTTCTGACAGTCGGCGTGTCACCGAAGTGTAACCCGACCTGCCGAAGAGACAGTGGGAAGCATAAGCACCCAATACTTCCGCACGGCCTGGGCGGGCAGGCGGGCGTATGGACTGGGGACCGGGCCAGACATGATGTACCCGCTTTTATGTAACACTAGGCCGGAACAGGTTCTCGTCCCCCCCCCCTTCCCCCCGTCACCCGGTGTATTGTGCGAGGGCAGGGTTGCGGCAATTTCGATAACAATTAAAATGCGTGCATAATTCTAAACGAAACAGCAGGAGAAGCTGACGAGCAGCAGCGACGCTGTTGTCACGTGCGGATATTGACAGATGAGTATAATGGCCGTCTGGAGTTGAGCCGGCCCCGCGGCCCGGGCAGACGGATCCGAGTCGACTCAAGGTGAGCCTGGCGGGATGAGTCGAAAAAGGATGCACCGCGGGTGTCCAGCCAGGAAGAGCACCTTACGTCGCTGGAAATGAGGGAGAGGTGGGGGGGGGGGCGTACGTACAGTCTCTTTAAGCGCATTGTACATGATACATACACAACTAAATGACAGCTGTCAGAAAGATATGAAGATATGTCGCTCTGGCGTAAACTACCAAGTCAGTAGTGGTGGTATGGTTGCTGGCGCGTCGTCTGCCGTGGCCGGCCGGGCCTCATTCTCGTCTCCTCCAGCGGTTTTTAGGAATGTTGAACGCGGCCCGGCGGTCCGGCTAATAGTTTCGGCATTCCGTTCGGCGCGAGGAGGTCCGCTTCGGCTGACCGGAATGAAGTAGTGTTCGGCAACGGGGGACGGGCACCGCCTCCCCGGGCATATGGCAGCGAGGATGATGAGCAGAAAGTGGGACTATGGGGCGTCGCAGGAGGCAAATACCCGGCGGCGGCGGCAATGTCGGAGAAAAAGGCGGGCACACCGGCTCCAGCGGACGGACGGACGGAGTGTGGGCGGGCGTCTCTGCTGCGTCCACCCCGCCCCGCCCCGCCCACCTCGGGGCACTAAGCGGACGGTACAATCAACACCGAGATGATGTCACGCCGTAGTTCAGGTTACCTACTCAAGGTGAGGAGGAAGGCGTCTTGCGCTGCAGGTCGCGAAAAATGTACTAAAAGCCAACTGTTTTTCCGGGAGGGAAAGATTCCCCGAACTGCGAGCTCCGTAAGCGAATAAGGCACTGTATTGTCTACGACCACTGTCTGTACCCGTCACTGTGCGTCCCGCGACGGCTGCAGCAGCCGCAGAAACTCGCGGTGGCGCGACACGCACGCGCGCTACTTCAACTCGCGACGGACGAAACGAGACTGCGGGATCAGCTGATCGGGAACGTCGTCGGTGCGACGGACGGACGGACGGACGCCTAGCGCCTGGTAGCGCGTGCGACCTCGGTTGGCGGGAAACTGTTTGCCTCAGCTCCACAAGCTTCGCGCCCTGCCACGGTCCCCGCTCCCCGCTCTGCCCCGCCCCGCCCACCCCGCCCCGCCCCGTTACCGGCTTTTTGGCTGGCTCGCCGGCGGGCTGGCCGGGCCGAGTGTAGCGCCACAGCAGTGGGGATGGCTCCACCTTTCATATCACCTTCACCCCGTTCAGTCATCATCGCTAGTCGTCAAGCCCTCAGCCGAAGCCTTTGGCCAAAGCCTTCGGCCAAAGCTCTGCTCAGCCAAAACCCTTAAGCCGGCCAATACTGCAAGGCAATACACGTGCCCAGCCAAATAATTGAACTACCCTTTCGTTTGATCTGTTGGAAAAGAGGACCAAAAATGTTTTTCTAGTCCTCATTCCTTCGTGTGTAAGGCACGATGGGTTGTTTTCTAGACACGCATATTGATGAGAGTGTGCGCGGCGGTCCTGCACGTCCTCGCACTGTGGGCGTGCCACGCCCAGGCCCAGGCCCAGGCACACGCATCCTGACCTGGGGGCCCGAGCCAAGGGCCCAAGTGGCACACGACACAATCGGAGAGATAGATTGACAGCCGCACTCTGCTTTGAAACGTTCACTCGGTAGGGGAGACTATCTGACAAATAATGCCGGTCGCTGGGTATGGGGTAAAAGTGTTGGCCTCAGAGAGACCGGGGCAGCGACCGCAAAGAAATGCAGGCGGCGGCAGGCGGGGTACGTGGCGTGGAGTTGGCGTGCGTGGAATCATTAAAACACCGGCATACATCGTATAATTATATGCACGGTGTCACCCTCTTCCTTCATCACTGCCCTCCTCTGCCCTGCTCCTTTTTCTTCCTCCTATTTCTACTCCCCCTCCCCTCCTCTCTGTCTGCCTGTCTCTGTCTTTCTCTGCTCTCTGTCTTTCCCTGCTGCTGACAGAGGTGGTGATGATGCACCGTGCGTTACCAACATATTAGGGTGGGGGAGCTCAAATAGCCTACCTGCCTTTCCTGACTAGGCTCACCTGATGCTGGTGGTAGCTGGGCGTGCGCTGGAAGCTGCTGTTGCTGGTGCTCCTCTTGAGCTCGCCGGGGCCCACCGTGTGCGAGCGCTGGAGCAGCCCGGGGCCCGGGGGGACCTCCATGTTGAGCAGCGCCGCCTGGACGACGCTCATGCCCAAATGCCACCGCCGCACAGTCACTATCGCCTCGCCACGAGGGGTTCCACTGGACGATGCACTGAACAATATTATTTCACTGTGGCCACTTCACTGGAAGACACACGCTAGCGCGTTATTTCACGGTGGTGGCCGGAGGTGCACTGATTATATTTTTCACTAGATGTTCCAATGAAAGCTCCACACTGGGTTCAACTGCAGTGATTCGGCGGGGCCGGGGGCAGGGGGACGCTGCGCTGCGGGGTCAGTCGGAGCTCGCGCCTCGCGCCCCGGGGTGAGCGAGCAGGTCGCCTCACGGGTCACCGCACAGGTCACCTCAAAGGTCACCTCACAGGGTCACCTCACAGGTCACCGCGCCGGGCGGCCCGAGGGTGTCGAGCTTATTCGATCGGCATGCGCCTGCAACAGAAGAACACAACACGCAGATCAGAGGTGGTTGGTTGTACCGTCCGTGTGTGTCGGCCATGGAGATCAAAGTAGAGTCCCAAGAAAAATCGACGACTCTTTTAACCGTCGACTTTCTCGCCAGAGGTAAGTCGGACCTCCGCGCCCTTGCGACCTTGGCGCGTTCATTCCCATCCGAGAGGTGCTCGAATGTTGACAGCTCCGCGATCGCAATTGCACGGCCGATGCAGCGAGAGGCGTGGCCGAGCGACACGTTGACTCAGATGTTCCCGAGAGAGGAAAAGCGAGAGGGGGAAAAAACAAAGGTGTTGGAACTTACTCAATATTCAAAATGGCCCTACTTCGCGCGCGGTCGGCCGGGTTAGAGAATCAGGAAGATTTTTTTTCCACGCCAACCTCTCCTCCTCTCCCCCTTCCCTTCATCTGCATGCGTACAGTGGTGGTCGTCGGGGCGACGCCGGTGTACAGTCGGAGCGGACAAAGCGCCGAGGTTTACTCTGCAGACGCGAGAGCCCGGCGTCGCGGGCAGAGCTTGGGCGGCGCGCACTGTACGGGGGATATGGCGGGGAGGGGAAAAAGAAAGGGGGGAGAGGGGTCGCAAACAGGAAGGGGTGGGAAAAGGGAAGGGAAGGGAGTCCGAGGGGCGAAAGGCGTTCGAACAAGAGAGCCCCGCCCGTTCGATGCGGGGCGCACCAGCGTGCGAGACGAGTATAGTCGTGTACC